GCAATATAATAAATAGAGCCTTTGAGTCCGTGCCGCTCTATCTTACTTACTGCCTGGAACGTTCAATCGTCATTATAAATGCGAATGTGGAACAATGGTTCAAGGTGCATTAGTTGATTGCGATAACAAACTTAGCCTACATATAAATGAAGATAATGGGAGTTTGGCAATCTTTCCCATTTCAATGCAAGTGAACATTGTAGAGCATTTATTTAAAATCATCTGAAGTCTTATTTAAAGTTATCAAAGCTTCTTCAGCAATTTTGTTCACACGTTCTTATTAAAAAGGAACAAAATGTAACAAGTCAATAAATTAGAAGCAGCCCTTCATCACAATCAAATAAACTTTAAATCAAATATTATCTAACTTAAATGCGCTTACAATACGGGTGTATAGTGGACAATAAAAAAATCTGAAATGAGTGAAGCGCCTTTTTAATGACACCTATCCATTGGAATTTATTTGGAGTCCGTCTAATAGATTTTATTCATATTTCCATTCTTGAGCATTATGTTTTATCTTTGCAATATTCTAAGGGGGTGTCTGGGGGTCGCAATACAATATGTAGCCTTCCTTTAAAACGAACGTCTTTTAGCGCGAACTCGGTGTAGCACGATTATAAATTTGCTCCCCTCCATCTTTTTAAACGCTAAACACCTCGTCTAAGACACTTCAAAAAGGATTCTCCTTTGACAGACCAATTCAGTTGATAAGAGAGTTGGAAAAAATAATTTTACCTTATAAGGTGTGCTACAAATATCCTTTAAAGGCCAGTTAACAATCGCAAAACCTTTTATTTTGAAAGCAAGAAAAATGTTTAGAAAACGGCTTATAATTAGATTATATTTCTTCTTAAATTTGATGTTAAGCTGCTTTAACATTTTTACGCTTAAAACTATTTTTCTTTTTATCAAGATTAATCTGTTAATAAATATTTCACTTTTGGAGTAATTTTTTTTTTAATTATCAAAATGTTTGGGCCTTTAAAATGACAGAAACTTAAACAAGACAATTGTTTTATGCATTAGTCGAAATCTTCCTTTTAATCAATGGTCTTTTTTTACACTTTTCAACCACTTTACTTGTCTGGCCTTCCTTACTCACAACTGCATACACTGCCGCTCATCTGAATAGGTTCAAAGAAAAATTTCGTTCAACATTTTAGCTTGTACTGCACATACATTTTTCTTAATTTTATACTGTGATCCTTCATTTGCTTACCTTTAACAAAGCACAAAAAAGTAACGGTATTTTTTAAAAGGTAGTTCAGAATTTTGCTTTCGTCTTACATTCGCTAAAAAGGCAGCATATTTTTGGTTCATCAGAATAGGTTCAACTACTCCAGTTTGACTTTGTGATCGACCGCGTGAAGTAAATGGTTCCAACTTTTTTTCTATTTGAAATTAGAAATTAGACCGATGTTTTTTTGTGGATTAGGTAGCGGAATACAATTGAAAAATGACTTCGAAAAAGGTCAAATGAAAGGTTATCTCAATTCCGGCCCAAATCAGCGCGAAATTGCATTGAAAATCGGAAGAAGTCAAAATGTTATTTTTATTTTTGTGCGCAATAAAGATCTTACGGGAAAAATATGAGAGGAGCGTGTCCGCAGGCGACAACTCCAGCTGAACCAAGAATAATTCTTAGAACCGCCTCTAATGCTCAACGTTTTGCGGCCAAAATCGGGGAAGAATGCGGTGTAAGCGCAATTTAGTAACTGCAAAACGGAATGCCAAGCATTTAAAGAAGTTACAAATAAAAAGAGTACCACTACCTACGATTTGCCAGAAATCATATGACCTGGGACAAACAATGGCAGAAAGTAGAAAGTTCAACCTGGATGGATGGGATGGCTACAACTTTTACTATCATGACCTGTGAAGGGAAGAATGTGTTTTGAGTTGGAATCAGTTGCGTAGGCAGCCTATATACTCTTTATTTATTTAATGTTAGTTTAAAGTTACAACTTACAGCTAACAGGGTTGAATATCTACAAATAAATACCAGGATCTTACGCTATTACAATTGATGAAAGAATAATGCATACTCTTTCTTCGTGCATTGGCATATGTAGCTTACATTCTGAGGGATACCAAATCGGCTATTTAATTACATCATTTGAATATTCACGTCCACATACAATTATTCGGTTCTTAAATATATACATATTCAACTTACAGTAGTCGCTTACACATGCACATACCATCTGAACCAAATAAGTTAATCTTTGATTCGTCACTGAATATCACACTATTGCAGTATGATTGACAGAAATTTTGGTGAAAATTAGGCGAAAACCTGAAAACAGCTTCAAGAATAAAATACCATTAAAACTTCTTCCGACTTAGTCTTTATTGATGGGAAAATTGACAAAAATGTGTTCCTCAATATATTCAAAGAAAATGTCCTTCCAAGTGTGGATAAAAACTATGGTTAAATGGACACCTTTGAAGACATTTATCTGAGTTGGTAGTATGCGTAGGCCCTTAGAAGCAGTTATCCAGGACAAAGGCGGTGTAACAAAATATTAGATGTGTATTTTAAGTTGTATGCGGAATAACGGTGCAACTTAATATGCGTTTTGTAGATAATAAAATAAAAAAAACTAACTGCATCAAAAAAAATTCTCAAAATCCATCAATAATAGGTATTAAACACGTTTTTCATAAAAATGTCTGCCTGTGCCAACACTTTATTGATTCACTGTACATACTAAACTATACAACTTACAATATAATAATTTCTCCTATCACGTGATGAGCCCGATTGGTTTGCAACTGGGTCGCAATTTGCTCAAAAGTTGCCATTTATTCGCACATTTGGCAGACAAACAGCGACGGAGACGACAACATCCACCTACGGCTGCCGTCAAAGCAATACGCGAGCCAAGCAACAACTAATAGCATACTTTTGTGCTTCTTCCGTTTGCTTTTTCCTCGCTAGCACCAAAGTGCCTTGGCTGCCTTAGCTTTAAACTTCCGGCATCCATTAAACTTCATTAAACATTTAATATGCATCGACGTTGGCGTCGCCGTCTTCGTCTGAATACTTTGTGTTCTTTGTGTCTGATTCTGTGCCCTTTTTATTTCCTTTGCCTTCTTTTTAACTTTTCTATGGCTTTGTATTACATTTGAGTGGCGTATTGGGGCCTTGGACCTAGCGGAAATGAGCGTGAGCAATTAGCTGCTCTTTTAAAAGGACAGTAATCTGCCCTGCATTTTGTCAGAAAGCTATATTTGAAATATAGTAGGAAGTATTCAAAGGATAGTCTATTAGCAGAGCTCCTGACACAAAAGTCTGTTTTGGTTTTCTTCTTTGAATTAGACATTAAGCTATCATACTTGTATTCCTTAAATTAATTGTAGACTAACAAATGTCTAAATTAGCGCACCTTCATATACTTATAAATATTGTAAATAATATATTAACCGCGTAATTCATTGAACTCGACTTCTTTGTTTGCATTTTGTTGATTGATTTGGCAACAAAAATGCTCAAAATTTGAGCATAGAAATAAATATAATAATTAATAAATGCAGATCTCTACTTTTAATCAAGTCGAACATTTTAAGCAAAAAAGTGCTGTATTGTGTTTTCAATATACGTAAAAATGTAGACGATTGAACGATGAAGGATACATCAATCATTAAAACCATTATTCTTTAGATTAAATGATTCTCTAGCGAACAAGAAAACTCAACTTTACGTTTTACAATAAAATTGTATTTGTTAATTTTGTAGCTGAAATCAATAATAAAAACATTTTGGAAAGTAGAACTGCAAGTCACAAGACTCCAGTTCTGCTATTATTGCTTAACCTAATTAGTTGTAGGTACTGTTATGCAGTCTAAAAAAAATATCTTCTTATGAATTTCGTTTCCAATATCAATAATATATTTTTTTAAATTCGTTCATCACGTAACTAAATGTCTGTTGTTTTATTTCTTATAAATAAAGGGAAAATTTGGCATCGTGATATCTTCTAAAGGAAACTTAAGGACTACTTTGAAGGTTTTTTAAATGAATTCTATTGAAACAAACACGCAAAAACTTATTTAATGAGTTACAGCAACACCAAAATGATTCCCGGATCAAAAAAGCGATATGGAAATGCTCTTATACTTTGTACCTTTCGAGTCGTATACCGACCATCTCGATTGGTGCAGCATGTCCAAAGCCCAAAATAAGATCTAATATTTGTAGTGTAGTGTTCTCACACCATGTGTTGATGATTTGATTTTGTGTGTTTGAGGTCATTATAAAAGTTTCTATGAGCATATTTTTAGATCGTACTCCTTCTCTAAAAGTTTTCCCCAGCGTCCTCCATAGAAGAATGTTGTGCATGTGTTACGATACAAAACAGAAGACTTAACAATGGTATTATAAAAAAAATAATTCTCTTAAAGTAAAAAGTTATTAAACATTTGTATGATGCACCGATCGTCCCTATAGCAGATGGCTTAGAATAGTTTTGAAACTTATAAATATTAGATATCTACAAGTAGATATAAGCCATAAAATTGGATTTATAGAGCATAACACAGAAGAGTTCCTTCGCAGTCCAATTATTCGCCACCGAGCAGAATATCTTCGTAGCTTAGTTCATATAAAATCTCTAAAGTAGCAAGCCAAGCAATATACTTTATTTTATTTCTATACCCTATACCCAGAGGGTACGAGGGTATATTAGTTTTTTACGAATGTATGTAACACACATAAGGAGGAGTGGCAGACCCAACAAAGTACATACAAGTATATATGCTATACCAGGATGACAAGACGAGTCAATTCTGTCCCGAAGTCAATTGATGCTCAGCATAAATTACATATAGTAAGCATATGTGGCATAATAAAATTTAAATATTTCAATATATTTAAAAAAATGTGAATTTCCTTTCATTGTTTGTGGAATACTGTACAGGGTGTATGGGAGTTGGTGTCGCCCGACTCTAGCATTTCATTCTGGCTTTATGTTTCAGTTCATTTAAAATTCGTTTCTTGACTCCCTTAAACATACAACTTTTGTTTTTTGTTCGTTTTTAAATTAGTATATTAGTATATTGTTTTGTTGGTTTGGCGCGATGCTGAAACGTTTCGAGGATGGCAGCTTAGTACGAGAAGTGCTAAGGAAAGGTAACAGGCCTTTGAGTGCTGCAGAAATTTCACGGGCGACTGCCAGGGCACTAGGTCTGCCTGTGACATGTGTAAGGTGGCAGATGACAGGTAGGTGTTTATCACTGAACTGTTGTAGGTTTTTTAAATGCACGATCCAATCCGAAGGCACCGTCAGCATAAGAAAGAGACCGTCTGTATACAAAGGAAGGGTATCGGCATTAAAAGCAACAATGGCGATTAGCAACAGAAGAATAGTATGTATAAATAAAGGAAGAAAATGCTCTACGGCTCAGGGCTCTATGCGCGTTATTGCATCCATTGATATAACCCGTTCGGAAAGTACACAGCTGATCGAAAGCAAAAGCATCCCAAGTCTGAGAAATGGAGGTCGCTCAATGAGTGAAGCACGTTCTTCCGATGTTTACTGTGTAAATAAAGAATGTTTTTCCACAATTAATATCTCGGATAGCGTGCGAACTCTGTCACGGTGTTCTTCAAGAGGATGGACCTCAAAATGCATCCAAACAAAGAGTGGTAGTGATTGCTCGGTGGTCGTCAAACAAGAATCAAGTACAGGCTTCTCGGCATGTGGAAGCACCCGTCTGTCTCTAAAAAGAAGTCATTCCGAATGTTTGTTGTGTTGTGTGAAACGCGAACCTGAAAGAGCAAGCAGTTGTGATCCTACGGCAAAGAAGAAGTTAAAGATCAGCAATTCAAGTAAATCCCGTCAAGGGGCTGTGAGAGGAAATGCGTCAAAAAGTGAAAGCTCTGCTAAAGTGTGTAAAAGATGCTTCAAAATATGCAAGAAATGCAATCGTTAAGCCGCTCTTTAACATGGTTGATCAATATTGCAGATAAATTGGAAACCCTCAGCGAATCACGAAAAAAGCTTTCGTCCAATGTATATGCCCAGATTTCTCGTATCTGGTGGATTTCACGATCTGACTACATAAATGTTGTTTTTAACATGAAGAAAATTCCAGTTGAATTAATAGAATTTGTACTCGTATATTAAAATGTCCTTCCATGCAAAATGCTTACTTCTATTAATACCTTGTATCCACAGGGTTGAAGGGTATGCTAGAAAGACAAAGTGCCAAAAGTATGTAATAGGTAGAAGAAGGCGTAATAATCTGTTCGTTTGGTACAAAACTCATCCGCAGAATGATAAGAATTAGTTTATAAATCGATATCAAGAAAACACATCTGTACAAAAGCGTGGGTGAAAGATTCGAAAGATCGGAATGCTCAACAAACTCATGGAGAATACGGGACGACCCTTATGGTAGTGAAATATGGAGTACATGTCTTACAGCAGAACGCAGATCCAACATCAATTACGAAACAAATGCAAGAAAAAAATGTGTGTCAGGGCGACATGCGATAATTTTAATTCTAAGCTGGTGAGGGGATCCTTTTCAATTGCTCATCAATTATTATTGGCTAATATACATTGCCTTGAAAAAAAATCGCTAGAAAATGGTTATTGCTTTCGGTTATTAAGCTAAAAAAGGTAGAAAATGGCTTAATAATGCGATATGAATGGCTAGAAAATCCGCTAGAAAACCAATTATAAGTAGCTAGAAAAAGTGTAGAAAACCAAAATCAGTCAGAAGGCTCACGAATAATAGATAGAAAAATCGCTAAAAATTGCTAGAAATACCGCCATAAATAGCTAGAAAACCCGCTTAGGAATAGATAGAAAACCCTCCGTCACTTGCTGTTCATTTATGTGCGCCTATTATCGTGTTATTGGTTTCATCACAGCAAATTTTGCCGATCTAGCATCCACGAGAAATATCACTTCAATAGCTCCAAGAATGTTGGGAAAACTCTTCCAAAAGCAGGTGAACTGCAAGGTTGGTTCCAAGGATTGAAAGATAGGGTAGGAAGACTGGATAGGTAAATTGCTACTGTCGGGACAAGGCTATGTGCGGAAATGCCTTCCTGGAGATGAAGCCATCGAAAATGGAAAATAGAAAATATAATACACCAAATGGGAGAATTGGGCGGCCAGTTATATAGAAAGATATGCTAAAGTCGAGCAGGCTCGACTCTTAAATACCCTGTACCACCCCACAAAAAAAAAAAAATGAAAATGGAAAAATGAACAAACTCGTCCTTTCTCGGGCTCAGGAGAATCTAGATACCAAGTTTGGTTATTCTCCTCTTATACTTTCTGAGATCCTTGCGTTCATACAGACAGACGGACATGGCTATATCGACTCGGCTTGTCATCCTGATCAAGAATATATATACTTTGTGGGGTCTGCCACGCCTCCTTCTGTGTGTTCCATGTACACTCGCACAAAACTAATATACCCTTTTACCCTTTGGGTACAGGGTATAAAAAAAGAAAATGCCTCGACGCAGGACAAATAGATGCAGCAATGGATGCCCTGAGTCTCTAAACGGAGTTATGCATACGCGGTCCCAAATGCAGAAACTCTCAGGAGGTTTTTAGTGGAATTAGCACATAGCGGATGTGTCGAAATCTGATGATTCGAAGGGATTTCCCCACCTCACAACAAATAAACAACGTAAATTATTATCAATGTAACTATTACTTTTAGTTTGAAATGGAAAACGCCATCGATATGTTATTTTGCCGAGTCTTACGAGCTGTATATAGTTTGTTTGTACGGTGTCCTCCCCAAATTCGTGCGACGTCTAAGAAGTTCGTGAGGTCCAACCCTTTTTTGTCACTTGCCTCACCACTCCTGCTCGAGTGTCGTGCCTCAATTTTAAGTAAGGCTGTATTATATATACAAGTATGTATGTACGAGTACTTCTGTGTGTAGTGAGGGAATGCTTAATACTTTTAATGAGATGAGGGCGAAATTTCATTATAATGTTGCCTGGGGATTTGTGCGCCAGCTAAGACGTTGCTGTTGGAGGTTGTTGTTGCTTGGACGGCCTTTTGTCTATGATCATTGGGCGGCGAAACAGGCTGAGGTTGCGCCTGGTAACCTCGTTAAGCTTAATTAATAGCAGCAATGTGATAAACACCGGGCCAAAATGGTGGCATCCCGCATTTCCAGTTGCCCTTGCCCACTCAGCAGCAGTCCCAGCAGTGGCAGCAGTGGCAGCAACCCCCCCGGGCTCCCGAAATTCCAACCCACTAGCTGGTATGCCACGGCACTCACTTGCTATTTTGTGCGCATGCTGGCAGAGCCAAAAACTTTAGCCAGGTGTCAACTACAGTGAGTTTTTTAATGAGTTGGCAAAGGTGTTCGAGGTGTGGGAGTGGGGGTGGGAGTGGGAGGGGGCATGGGCGTCTGAGTATGGGGGTATATGGGGGGGAAGGAGCGGCGGCTGCCTCTGACATTTGACAGATTTGGCTTGAAAAGCCAAAAGGTTGCGTCTAGGCAGCAGCAGAGCGCGATTTGTTAGCATTTTCTACTTATTTGGGCATTAAGTAGGTGGGCGAGTTGTGCCCCATTTTGTTTGTCTGTCTGTCTGTCTGTTTGTTTGTTTGTTTGTTTATTTGCTCATAATGTTTGTTTGCAGAGGCATGGTTGTATGGGTGTGTGCCTTAAATTCCTTGTTGCTAAAGCATTTTGCTCTAAAATGACAACAGCAACAACAATCAAAGGCAGCGAGGCAGCGAATGTTGCGAAGCAAATATTTGCTGAGGGACAAGTATGCGCAATTAAAATTTGATTTAATACAAAAGTACATACATACATACATATCTACACACCCACCTACATGTACGTACATGTATGTGAATAAGTGTGGTCACACACAGAGACATATACACCCGCCCACACCCAGGGACACACCCACACATTCAACATGTAAATGTGCATTTGCATACATATGCCATATGCCATATGCGTGTCTCTGTTTGTCTCTTTGTCTGTTTGCTGTTGGCACACAGTATCCAATTTCGAAATTACTTGCGCATCATCAGTTGAAATTCCTTGAGTATCGAATGGAATTTAATTGAAGTCACGATTTCACAAATTCAAGCAATTTATTGTAAAAGCCAGGCACACGCACACGCACACACATCGCCGCTCACATACGACGTATACTTGTACATACATACTCGTGTGCCTGTTTATAAGCATATGCATGTATATGTGTCCGTATTTATGCGCCCTCCTACACATAAATAAATCAGATAACACATTAACACTTCTTCTTCAGAGACCCGTTGATTCCACTCACCCCGTCAAAGCTGTTTGATGTCCTCGTCTACTCCTTGATGTTGAATTTTTAATTTTCATTAACATTTGCGCAGCCTTGAAAAGCAAAAGTGACGACCCACTCCTCCGTTCCTCCCCCATCGCTGGCGGACAGCATTCGCCCCGCTTCCACTGCCACCCGCATGCGAACGCCATTTGCCTGTTCGTTCCTACACACACACACATACACACACACACACACACACACACACACACACACACACACACACACACACACACACATACATACATAAATAGATACATAAATACATATGTATGTACCTATTTTAAGCTTGACGCAGGAGTTTGTTGTTTTCGTTGTTGTAGTTCCGGTTCTTCTTCTCGTTCTTCGTCCTCTTGTCCTTCTTGACGCACGTCCTTGCCCCCACACATGCACACACACGCACACTCATGCACATTCTCGTACTTACAGTTATTAGTGTTTGATTCGTGCTTAATTATATTTGCATAAGGAAATGTCCTCTGCAGCAAACATTGTTCGAAGCAGGAAGGAGGTGTTGTAGAGCTGCTTCTAACAGAGACACATTTTGTCGATTTTTTCACTTTTTCAGTTAGTCTCTGTGAACCAATGGCCACAAAATGAATCTTAGCTCTACAAAGTAAATAAAATTAAAATACGATTGTTACCTTCCTCTTGTCCTATATGTATATATTGTACTGTATTTAGGGAAATAAAAGTTGCATCAAATTTTCAAAACATTAATTGATGGGTGAACTATTATGAAGGGAAAAATGTAACAGCCAGCGCCTATATTTCAGAGACTATAAGAGCTAAACACACAAGATGTTCTACAAAGATGCCTTTATATATGTTCGCAGTACAAATGTGTTTCAAATTCCTTCTTCCACTGCCTCAGAGTTTCGTCAATACTGTCGATGCATAATTAACTTAAATTTATATACTTTTTATTTTAAATTTAACCTCAATCGGTCTGTTCTAAGAAAAGTTATAAGCGAATCAATCCAGTTCTATCGGGCCTGTTCGACTGTAAAAAATATGCTTCTTATTTTAACAAAATTGGTTTAAATTATCTTCTAAGGCTAACTAAAGACAATGCTATTACAAATATGTTACGAAAACTTAAACTAAATGGAAAGGAGTTATAATAGTTAGGGATTTCTCAAAATTTGAAACTAGACTTAAGGAAGCTAGGGAGTTTTCGAGAAACCAGAAATCAAGAGTCAGAGAAAGAATGAAAAGATGAATTAGCAAAAAATGTGGTTGAAGAAACATTTGTTGAGGCTTCAACTTCCTGGAAAAAAACCTATTATTGTGACATAATGTGCTTGGATAAGAGCTGTGTGTTCACAATTTTTAGCTCCTTATAAATCATACAGTAGATTGTTCGGCTTACAATGTCTTAACATCCTTATAGACCAGCGACTTTCCTATTATACAGTTACTATAATTAATAACTCATAAATACGAATATTGCTTTAGTTAAACTAAGAAGGTTTTTTCGCCGATCGGTCATATCGCAGCTATTTAAAAAATATGGTTTGTTATATACTCCCTATACTTTTACGCGTGGGGAAAACAAGGCTACTTACCAAGTTAGGTCTCCATATCTCTTATAGTTCAAAAGTTTTCGCTGCCCATACAGAAGGACAAGAGGAAATACCTTTATATTAATTCGTCTCGTTGTGGTGATCAGATATTGTCGCAGTGAGCGTACGTCATAAAATAAGAATCGAAATCAAATTTAAAACTAAGAAGGATCGGCTAGAATTTTAAATGAGTATACGCACTGTGGGCACAATTATAGCGCCCAGAATGAATTAGAAATTAATAATTATTAACATCTATTAATTGAAAACAA